CGTTAGGAAACAAAACTTCAAGAACACGGCCACACAGCCCGGAAGACCCACACCAGCCTATCCCTGCAGACATCAAGACTTTTAATTGCAAATCACATTGCCTACAATGGACCAGCCAGAGCACCCATTCCTGGGGCTCTTCTCAGCGGCTGACACAGTGGTGCAGGTGCTGGCAGGAGAGTGCTGCCTTAAATAAGACACAGCATATACCCAAGTCCTCTCTCTCGAGAAATTCAATTACTGCACAAAACACAGATGATTTTCTTCTTATCCTCCCCACAAAATGCTTGATTAAGTCCTGCTGGAATTGGCAGGAGGAAATCCTGCTTGAGTAATTGGATTTTAGTCGCAAGATTAGCGGGTGGAGGAAATGGAGAACTGAAGACGTTCCTTTAAAAAAAACAAAAAAAAATTAAATTACAGCCCCTGAACTAAAAGTGGTCACAGAATTGCTTCCTTTTTCCTAACAGGACAGGGAAGACTGACTGGGAAGTAATTTGCTAAGTGTTATTTAGTGAAATTTAAATTGTTTGCAGGTTCTAGCAGAGGAGTGCAGCTATTGTACGCCCTTGACCAAAAAACAGTATCCTCCTTCTGTCTGGGTTGCTCTTCCACCAAGCGCACAGCGTTGGGAGGGACGGAGGGAAGTCAGCTAGCCCTGTCGGCCGAATTAATCCTGGTGTGCAATAGAGAGAGACGCTGCAGCCAGAGTGCCCTCACATGCTTGGATTTTTGTACACACTTTTCTTATTTTTCTGTTTATACCTTTATTTTATAGGTATACCTTTGTACACCTTTTCCGGTTGGTCAAAGACAGCAATATAGACTTAACTGTTTGAAATTTAAATTAAAAGTGCCTGGAACTTAAAGACATGCAAAACTGTAGATGTTAGTAACGTGGACTGAACTTACTATGGCGTACAATTCCATTCGGTGATTTATATTGTGTTGAGCGTGGTCTTTGTTACCCATGTTTAGCAAGTTCACTAGTAATTCTTAGTCCCTTAAAATGTAACATGTATATCTAATTATTCATTACTAATGAATACTTTAGAAAGCTAAAATATTTTTAAAATCCTGGTTTATTTATCCGGGTAATACCCTTTTATTCCTTACTCATGTTCTCTTTTTACTTGTTTGTATATCTTCTTCTAAGCGTCCAGTAAAAAAATAATTTAAAAAGACACACAGAATTGTTAGATAAAAATGTAGGAAATCAAATGCAATTCCGTCCTGGCTTCTGGCACGAGCCAGATTTACTTTTTCTTAACCTGATGCCCACAGTTGCCACTTCCCCCATAGCAGATGCTGTCCAAGACATTTGAGAGCACTGAGATATGAAAGGTTATGTTCTAGGACTTTTTAAAAGGCAAAAAGGTACTTTGGGGCTGTGGGGCCATTCAAGAGCACCTGTCTGCAACTCTTCAAAGCACCTTTTCCCCTTTGAGTGTTAAACACCAAGCAGTCTTACTATACTCCATCCACATGCCCAGACCTCTGTTGATGAAGAGGTTCCCCCCACAAGGGTGTTTGAGCACGCAGCTTTCTGTCTCTCTCACACACACATTCAAACATGTTCAAACCAAGCCCAGCTCTTTGCTTCATACTGCGATAGAGCAGGACACCTGAACAGGTGTGCAGCAGGGAATCAGACAGATCCATGTAAAAGTTTAGGCACCTTCGGTCAAACGGGTTTCGTTTCAAGGAATCCTTAGGTGAACAGAAGCTGACACAGCCTCTGCGCAGAACAAAGTTAAACGAGGCGTCTTTCTGCAAACCTGAATGCATACTTACTCTATCTGTGAGCTGGTTTACAGGTTCAGAATAAGAGAAAGTGAACATGGCAGGTGCAAAAGTTTGGGCATTCTTCCAGTCGATTCAGTGCTACTTTTTTGCAACGCAAAGCTGTTAATAAAGCCCCAAAATGTGATTGACTTATAAGGCCTACAATTAGCCAATTCCACAGGCAAACAAACAATGCACAGACCCTGATTGCCTCTCAGGTTGTTCTTTCTGTTTTGAAACACCACAGGCTCCTCTAAGCAGCTGCGTGAGCATTTGAAAATGAAGATAATTTGCTCCTATAAAACAGGGGAAGGCGATTAAACAAAAAGTCCTCTAAATGCTTCCAACAGTTTCAATTAACATTATTAAGAAGTGCCGTATTCACCATTTTCGTAGTTTGAATCTTAAACAACTGCATATAAACAGTGAAGGATGCATTCAAATTTCCAGAACGATTTCAGGCTTAACTTTGTACCGTGTACAGATTGAGTCAGTTTTGTTCACTTTGGGATTCACTGAAATGTACACATTGACCAGGAGTACCTCAACTTTTCCATACAGCTGCAGATTTATGATACCGTATCAGGGAATTTGCAAAGTAGTTCTCCATCTTTACCCCACCTGGCTTGCTTTCACTGAGCTTTTCCCAGTCCGGGACCCTCCAGATGTTTTGGGAATCAAACTCCCAGAATTCCTAGCCAGGTTGGAAAAAGGAGGCCTTTGCTCGAAACTTAATTTGGCTGGAAAGAGAATCTCAACTATTCATTCCTGGTCAGATATTGTCATATCCAACCCATTCACACACAAGGGGATAAATGGAACAGAGAAACATCTGAATTCCCTAGAACAAACAACGACTCCAGGAAAAGAATGCTCCAAGTTACCATCTGGAGGATGGAGAACTAAAGTTTTGGGCACCACCTACTTGTCATGTCCAAGAGAAGGAGATTCTATTTTTTCTAAACCTAGTTTGTGGCAATCCAGCCAGGATCCAAAAACCATGGCTTTTTTACTTGGGCGCAAAGCAAACTATGGTTTGCAACAACACCAAAACAGAAACTTTTAAAATGTTCAATGGAGAAAAACTTGGGAGCTTAGCAGCAACCATGCTCTGTTAATGCCCCACTCATGCCTACCTCCTCTGGTGCCAAGTTTGGAGGCTGCTCTGCGCCAGAGGGTGGCAGCTGGACACTGGCCTATTGGCTGCTAAACTGAGTTATGGCATAGAACATCATGTGAATGTGGCTCTTGGGCTTCAGTCAATCCATGAACAGCAGGGATGTTCAAATCCAAAGCCGATATATTAAAAAGACGCATAACTGGAGTATGACGAAGCTCTTAATCCAATACTCAAAACTCTTCCTCCCAAGAGGGAGCCAACTAGGTGGCTCATAGACTCATTTGTGCCAGGCTGCAGCTGCAAAGAAGCCACTAAATAAATTCATAAATTGGTTAGCAGTCCCAATTAGATGGTGGCCTGTAGGAGTCAAGCTGCAACAGCAGTAGCTGTATGGAAGCATCTTGTCTCAGAGTAGCACCTCAAAAAGGGAGTTTTGTCCTTTAGTTTAGCATGAATTATTTTATTTCTGTATTGTATCCTTAATAATGAAAGAGCCCCCTGGATCTCATCCAGCCCCCCCTGGCCAACAAGATGCTCCCCATCAGGGCACTGATGCTTCTCGGCAATTGGTACCCAAGCCACGCTGGCTGTGACTCCAGAGGTACTAATAGCCACCAGGGGAGTAGCCCCTGAGAACCTGCTCCTCTATGAATTTGTCCTATCCCCTCTCAAAGCCATCTCACCTGATGGTCATCCTCACATCTGGGGACAACAAATCCCACAATTTGTGTCTTGTAACGGGGCCCTCAACTTTCCCAACTTTAGGGTTAATGTTTGACCCTCAAGCTGAACACTTGGAGGTCAAACCTTGAAAAGAGGAAGAAAGCCATCAGTCTCTCTGCCCCCCCCCCACCTTTTCCACGCCATGCCTGATTTTCTTTCCCTCTATCTTCCTTTATCTGCTCCAAGCTGAAAAGCCCCAGAGGCTGACATCTTTCATCACAGAGAGCTGCTCTACCATGCTGCCGGACCGTCTTCTTCTCCATTTTGTGAAGAAGCATCTTTGGATTACTCCCTTTCCAGCCTCACAAGGATCTTCTGGAGCAAATTAGTGCTGAAGAATGATACGAGTCCCCCCCTGCCTGAACAGGGGGCATGGACCCAAATCCTACAGCAGCTGGCCCTCACCCTGTGCCAGTTCTTCAGCTCACCTGCTCACAGAGCGAGCGGAAGCCGAGCTCCTCCAAGCGGTCCAGTTCGTAGGTCTCACCCAGAAGTGGGTTGAAGGGCTTGGCAGTCCGTTGGACTGTGGTTGAGTAGGAAGACACCGAAAAGGCAGCCACAAAACACATCTGTTCGATGGAGCTCTCGCACTTGACAGCTTTGTCCAGCAGCTCATGATACTCCAGGTCCTCTGTTAGCCTCTGCAGCATAGATAGGGGTTCATTGAAGTTGACCTGCAAGGAGAGGGAAGCAGGGAAGGAGGGTTATGGGGGCTCCAGCCCTGGGGAGGAAGAGCAGGTGCTCACAGTCCCTTATGGGCCCCACAAACCTCTCTCCCGGGTGATCCCATTCCCATTCCACAATGACACCTGGGGGTATAAAGAGAATGAAGACCACTCCCCCACTTCACTGTCCTCATCCAGGACCACTGATGTTAAGGAGCCCCAGCACAGTGGTTGGCCATTGTTTTTATTCTGCACCACACCAAGTCACCTTTTCCAGCCCAGGGGCTCAGCTGAACAAGCCTGCAGTGGGCACACTCGCAAAGCAAAATCAAGGCAAGTTTGTTCTGAGTTTCGTTCTTGCACTTCCCTTGTTCTCAGGACTGGGTAATCCTGCACATTCCCTTGTAACAGCTCGCTCATTCCTTCCCCACGGCCAGTTTTAAATTCCTCTACACCTATTCTCTATGCTGGAATAAATTAAAAACCCGCATTTAACAACCCTCCCCCAAAGCAACCAGAAATTCTTAGGAAGTTGAACTCAGTACCCACAATCCCATTTTCATGTTCCCATGGAATTACATGCTTAACCAGGTCAAGAGAAACATTTAGCATCTGCATTTTCACAACATGCTAAGCTTGGCTGGTATTAACTTTGTTGCGTGGATCCGTCCCATGAACCATTAGTTCATGGTTCAATGTATTCTGCGTACCCAGAGAATAAATTAGTTCAGTTACTAAGTATATGAGTCAACCCACCAATGTCTGCCCATTTTTTTCTTATTAAAATTTAACAGTGCTGGAAAAATTCAATGTTTATATCAGGGTACGTCCTGTGAATTTTACATTTAGATTTTGCTCTGTCACTTTAGCCTGGAGAATCCAGTTCCGCCGTTGTTTGCAGACACTGCAATATTTTTAATATTCCTTGGTGGAGGGCATCAGATTGACCATCTTGGGAGAGGAAGAGGGAATAAGGGTTTGGAAAAGCCCACATTCTCTTCACTGCTTTTCCTCTCTCTCACCCACACCCCAGCCTGTTACAACGGAAATACAAGGCCAAGGAAGAGAAGCTGGTATGAAACCCGACGGGGACAGGTTGGCTGAGCAAAGGCTGGAGGCACAGTGGGAAGATGGAACAGCTGGGATACCGTGCCCAACCATCCTCCGAGTCCATTTCTTAGCCTGCTTATGAACACTTCACTTGGACAGAAACATGGCAGGCTGAAATTGTTACTCCTCTCATCCTAAACGACTTCACCAGGCTGTGCAAGCAATTGATTCTGTGGAGCCCCTCAGAAAATGGGTGGGGCACCAACGTAATAAAAGAGCGGATCCCTACATCTGCAACACAGATATTTGGATTTAGCTTTTTGAATCCTCCCTGGTTCTTTTTATTTGTTTCATGCTTTCAAGTCAAGTCTTGACCCTTGGCAACTATACAGTGAGATTTTTGGAATTTGCCCTTCTCTCCTTCCCAGGGCTGAGAGAGATGGTCTGGCCCAAAGTCACCTGGCCAGCTTCTGGGCTTCAGACAGAACTGGAACTCCCATCTCCTGGTTTCTAGCCTGGTGCCTCATCACCCAGTCCTTAGCTCTCAGCATTTTATCTCCAAGTCGAGATGATGCACGAGGACCTCAATCTCCCTAAGGTTCTTACAAGCTTCGTTCAAGACTCAGCCTCCTAACTGAGAGCTTGAGATCCTCTAGCGCTCATCTCGGAGCCCTGCTTGGAATAAAACTCGCTTCTTTGCTTGCATCTCCTCACAGGAGTTGTACAACTAGGAATATCTACATGGGGCTACCCTTGAAGAGTATCCGGAAGCTACAGCTGGTCCAGAATGCATCTGCGCGGGCTATTTTTGGAGCCCCAAGAAGGGCCCATGTAACACCATTGCTCCGCGAGCTGCATTGGGTAGCAGTTTGCTTCCAGGTCCAATTCAAGGTGTTGGTTATCACCTTTAAAGCCCTACATGGCATGGGACCGGGTTACCTGAGGGAACCCTCTTCCCCATGACTTCAACCCGTCCCATCGGGTCACACAGAGAGGGCATGCTTCGGACCCCCTCAGTAAAAGAACTCCGGCTAGCGGGGTCCAGAA